CAACAACAGTACTTGGGGAAAATCTACCTCCACCACCTCAAGCTCAGGAGCAGATGGAAATATATCCACCAACGCAGATAGGAATGTATCCACCAACACCTCCGCCGTCGCCGACGATGGAAGAATATCCTCAACAACAACCAGCAGAAGACGAGGTAGATCCTCCTGAGACATTCATGGAGTCCTTGACACTGAACGACTCTCTCACGATCTCCATGCCAGAAAATATAGAAAGAAAGTTCTTAATTTTCATTCCACCACACTTGGTGAAGACATCATTGAATGTCCTCCTCGACCCTTACTCCTTGGAGGACAAATATGTTGTCCTGATGATACCAACTCTCAACGACACTATACAGCCAGCCTCTATACCAGCCTCCGCACCTTCTAATGCATTTGGAGTTATCATTACCCCAGGAGGGAACTCATCACAATGATCATCTCATGAAGATAATGCTATGGAATTGTAGGGGAGCAAATGGACTTGAATTTCGTAGGAACCTTCGATTTTTACTAAACTAGAACAATCCTTCTATTTTGCGTCTCACAGAGACAAAGATGCAAGATCACACGTCTCTGTTTCAGGAATTTGACTTCACTGATCTTATACAAGTAGCTGCCCATGGACATTCTGGAGGGATAGTTCTCCTTTGGCGTGCACATGACTTAATTGTGGATCCTGTGGCTGTCACAAGCCAAGAAATTTATGCTACTGTTCAGGTGAGTCAACATTCTCCCAAATGGTTTTTATCTGTTGTTTATGCTAGTAATCACTATGCTATTAGAAAGCTCCTATGGCAAAATCTTCAAGAACTTAATAAATGCCACAATTCGGCTTGGCTATTATGTGGGAACTTCATTGAATTGTGCTTAGCATCTGATAAATTTGGTGGCAACCCTATTAAACCAAATACAACAGTACTTTTAATAATTGCCTTAACTCTATTAACATGCTAGATCTTGGCTTTACCGGGTCACGTTTACATGGACTAACAAACCTAAAATAAGAACTACTGCTCACATAAATAATAGAATACCTAACAGACTAATAACGGAGCGACTAGATAATTTTTTTGCGAATGAACCTTGGATAAAATTATTCGAAGATGCTACAGTTTTACACCTACCATGCACTCACTCAGACCATTGTCCACTCCTACTAAATTTACAAAAATCATTCCCCAAGCCTATCTCTAATTTTAAGTTTGAAAAAATGTGGCTAAGTCACCCAGATTTTCGTCCATTAAATTTTTACATTGAAAAATGTGGACCGCTTAGAATGGTCTTTTATTCATTATTTACTACAACAAGTAAATTTTTCTCCACATTTAATCAAACTAATAATGTCATGTATCTCAACCTCTTCCATTTCTATACTAGTCAATGGCAAACCTATTCAATTCTTTCAACCTACACGGGGCATTAGGCAGGGTGACCCATTAAGCCCTTATAGTTTTATCATCTGCATGGCATCACTCTCACACCTGATTGACCATGTTGTCGACCTCCCACAGTGGACGCCTGTTAAAATATCGCGTAGATCAACACCAATTTCTCATCTACTTTTCGCAGATGAACTAGTCTTAATTGCCAAAGCTACTGAGAAGAATGTGCATACAATTAACAACATCTCCAACCAACTACATAGACAATCAAGACAATGCATTAACTTTTCTAAATCAAAAATTCGTTTCTCTAATAATGTTCCTACTAGCACTCAAAATAAAATCTCATCACTCCTTAACATCACACCCATAACTAATTTTGGCAGGTACCTAGGCCTGCCTATAACCAACACCACACTGTCTTCCACTGATTATCAGTACCTAATCGCCAGCTCACTCGAAAATTGGCTGGTTGGAAACATAATTTCTTAACATTTGCTGGCAGAACGACACTCATCAAGTCAGTTTTAAATACTATTCCCACGTATGCTATGCAAATTAATCTCCTCCCAAATAAGACGCTAAAACATATAGATCGTATTCAAAGAAATTTTCTCTGGGGCTCTTCCCTAGACAAACGGAAGCTACACCTTATTAACTGGGACAAAATTACTACACCAAAAATTTATGAAGGATTAAGAATTCATAAACTCTATCCAAAAAATATATCCTTACTTATGGCCTTCCTTTGGGCTACTACAACAATACCAACACTCCTTGGGCAACTACTCTATACCTTAAATACCAATCTTATCTCCAACAACCACATCCTAAATTCCACCACCCAAACATCAACTCTGCTTTCTACATTTGGAAAAGTATGGCAAAAGCATACTTTTTTTTTTCCAAACAGGGACTAGGTTGGAATATAGCCAATGGTAATCAAATACAACTTTGGTTTGACTATTGGCTACCTACACACCACGCTTTAGCCATCTTATTCATGGTCCACTCAACCAAAATAAAGATAACCTCCCACTCAGCTCTATCATCCAAAATGGCTCGTGGAACACTTTCCTTTGACATCCCACACTCCCTATTCTCACTCATTACTAATACTTTGTTGAGCTCTACATTTAGTTCTAAACACCAATTTTTTTGGCATCCCTCATCAACAGGGGCTTTCTCTACCTCTACTGCATACACCCTAATAACGTCTCCTCCACACATGGAACAACCCTATTCCCAGCTCACTTGGGTATGGAAGATACATTCTACCAACAAAATTAAACAGTTTCTCTAGCTCATGCTACAAGCCAAACTACCAACCCTCTCATTTCTCTCTAATCGCAACAACCCTCTCATTTCTCTCTAATCGCAACATTTCTACTGATCCCACCTGTCCCTTATGAAACAAGTACATGAAGATATTAATCATATATTTTTTCATTGTACCACCGTCTCCAATATATGGCGCCACTTTAATATCTCTCTCCCACCACACTTCACTCCAAATTGGGTCAAACATCTATGTGTTCCAACCACCTCTCCTCCTATTATTCCATTACATATTATAGTTCCAATCATTTTCTGGCACATCTGGATAACGGTAATAATAATATCTTCAATCACACCCATGCCCACGTTAATCTTTAAAATATATATACCCACGCAACCCAATTTTATTACTTAGCTAACACATACACTCAAAAACACACACTAACTACTAGCATTCCAATCAAATGGCACCCCCAGCCCAAGGGTACTATAAGTTAAATATCGATGGAGCCTTTGATAATCATTCTCACAAGGTTGGGGCAGGCAGAGTTTTTCGCGATGCCTCAGGCACCTGGGTGTATGGCTTTACCAAACAATTGAGACATGCTGATATTCTACAAGCTGAATTGCTAGCCTTATATCACGGTCTACTACTAGCAAATGCTTGCAATTTCAGACCATTACAAGTGGAAACGGACTCTCAGGTCGATGCTCGAGGAACTCCAGGTGACCACGATCCAACACACATTCAGGGAGGGTAATGCTGTAGCGGATGTATTAGCCAAGCATGGGAAGACAACCACGGATATACAACCTAATGATGTTCTAATTTTTGAAAATCCACCTACTTTTGCTTATCTCTTTTAGCTTCTGATGTAATTGGAACTGTAACATACCGTTCAATTCTAACTTCTATAACGCACTAGTTATGTTTTAATAAAATCCTTATTAGAAAAAATAAATATAAAATGCAACAGGACCTTTTAAGAATCGACCACATGTACAGAGTGAGTTGTGATCTTTTCGCCAGTGAACTATCTCATTAAAGACAATATATATATATATATATATATATATATATACCATCATTTTTAATTCTTTTTTTTTTTGTTACAACAACAATTATTATATTTTAGTCCTGTATAAGTTGATTATATAATAAGTTAACACCAGTTATGTAAGAAGTGCAAGACCTATCAAACCTGTCCCCAAAAATATAATATGGGAGAACCTTAGGATGAACGTTAGGTTCTCCCTTATTCCTTTTTCTCTTCCCAAATTTCTCATTTTCCACCCCAATTTTTTTTTTTTCTAAAAAAGGAGAACAAGGCATAAACAAGACTAGGGGATCATTTTCTTTAGGATTAACATGTCTAATCTGAATACTGGAAATGTTGAATGATGACTTTGATTCTCTCTTCCAATCCATATCCAAAAAAGCAATTCAAACCTCAAAAATACTCTCTATCTAACATGCAAAAGCTTAGTTGGAATCCAACTATTTCATCCGGTTATATTTATTTGTCACTTTTTAGTTTTGTTCCAATAAATTTATCATTTTAGAAAACTAAGAAAGAATTAATTATATTTTAAAATTATCCCTACTTCTTCGATAATTTTTTTGCATTTTGATGATGATAGCGGCAAATTCACTATTACATATAATTGTGGACCATATTAAATTACATTCCCAGAATAAATATAAATAAAATAAAATAAGAATTAAAAGGTATTTTTTATATTTTCCTAACAATCTTATTTTTACTAGAAAGAAGAAAAAGAGACCGAGAGGCTAAAGAATAAATACGGGACATTTATTCAAATAATTCTTCTTCTTATCATTATTAATTTTTTTAAAGGGACAAAATAATGTTAAAATGACAAGTATATAGGAGTGCTCCCTCTACTCTATTTTATAAATTTCTTTTTTTCGTCAATTCCAAAAAGAATTAGATGTTTTCATATTTCTTACTTTAAATTTTTGTTATTATTTGTTCACTCATAACATAGCAATGACATGCTTTAATATTATAAATTCAATTTTTTTTAAATATGTGTCAAAACTTTTTTTCCTTAGCTCGGTGTATAATCTAACACCAATATCCAAAATGAAAAGGAAAAAGTATCTATTTGTCATAGAATCTTCTCTTGACTAACAAATTAAAAACAGCGAAAAGAGAAACAAAAACAAAAACTTAATCCCTAATCCAAAAGTGCATTGTCACTGAGCTTCAGTCGCACCGAACACGTACCCCAGACCCCAAGTGTCAGTCTCACCCCCTCCCCCCCACCCAGACCCAAAATTAAATTCCAAGAACCTTCCCAAATTACCCACTCACTCTTCAAATACCCCCAGGGTCCCGGCGGCTAGTATTATATTCTCTCTAATTTGACCATAAACAAAAATACCAATCCCCAATTGAACCCATTATCCTTTTTATCCTTTCTTAGGGTTTCGATTTTGATCAATTCTTGAGTTATATATATTCTATCTCAAATTCATAATTATAGAATACCCATTTGATTATTCAATTGAGTGTACCATTTTTGTGGTTGTAATATTTTTTGGATTGTTGAAGAGATGAAGATGTTGGAGTTAATTGATTCGGACTCGTTTGCTTGTTTTGGGTCGTCAAAGAATGTGTTTCCACCTGGGTTTAGGTTTCATCCGACAGACGAGGAACTTGTACTGTATTACTTGAAGAAGAAGATATGTCGGAAGAGGATTCTGCTGGATGCCATCGCTGAGACTGACGTGTACAAGTGGGATCCTGAGGACTTGCCTGGTATGTATATTATATCTCGTATTTGGGTTTTTGATATGAAATTCAAATTGGGGTTTTGATTTTCTTGGGCCGTTGACTTGAACTGATCATCGTATTGTGTTTGTGATTTGCTGTGTCTTTTGATTTATACAGTGCTTGCTTTTGTGTTCATTGTTGAGGGCTGTGATTTATCTACGTCTGTAGTGACTTTTCTTGAGTGTTATTTTGTGATGATTGCATTATCTGGTGCTACAATTTCTCTGAATGATTGAGTGATGGTGGAGCCAGAATTTTCAGTAAGGGGGTTCAAAATATAAAAAAGTGAACGTAGGAAGAAGTCAAGGGGATTTAACATCTACTATATACATAAAAGAGAACTTTTACCTAGTATACATAGTGTAATTTTTCGGCGAATGATGAACACCCATCCGCCCCCTGCCTCCGCCCATGTGTGAATCCTCTATATTTGGTGTGCATTTTTATGCTTATAGGTCTATTGCTGTATAGTTGAGCTCCTCCAGAGGTCCTTGCTGGTTTATTACGGGATCATTTGCTTAGATTATCTTTAGTTATCTCAGTTCAGTGGATGTGTGTTTGTGGCCTATATCTTTTACTTGTTTGCTTTTGTTGTTTTTGCGTTTCTGTTTTTTCTCCTTTTTTATTGGAGGGTGGGATTAGCTTCAGCTGCATTTGTTGTGTTAATTATAGTTGAATTTGTATGGATTGAAGGACATATAAGAATGCAGATCTAGTTAGATTTAATTCTCCGGAGTTTATCTATGAACGACGTAAACGTGATCATTCTTAATGCTGTTATCTTCCAATTTCCTCCAGTTTCTTTGTCTTTTGTACTTTTGTTTGCGTTTTCCTTTTAACTTGCTTCCTTACTTTAGATCTTGTCTTATCCATACTTGTTAGTTGTCTGAAAATTAACTGCTGCTGCTTTGAACTCATATTATGGTAGATATTTTTTAATGAACTGTTTTAATCTTTTGAATAGTCTACTTATGGATTTTGCTAATTTGAACTGCAGATCTGTCTAAATTAAAAACTGGGGACCGGCAGTGGTTCTTCTTTAGCCCCAGAGATCGAAAGTATCCTAACAGAGCACGGTCAAATAGGGCAACAAAGCACGGATATTGGAAAGCTACGGGAAAGGATCGAATTATTACGTGCAACTCGCGTGCTGTTGGAGTTAAGAAGACCCTAGTCTTTTATAAAGGCCGAGCACCAGTAGGCGAGCGAACAGACTGGGTGATGCATGAGTATACTATGGATGAAGAAGAGCTGAAAAGGTGTCAGAATGTCCATGACTACTATGCGCTTTACAAGGTCTTTAAGAAAAGTGGGCCCGGTCCTAAGAATAATGAGCAGTATGGTGCACCTTTTAGAGAAGAGGACTGGGTTGATGATGAATGTCCAAGTGCCAAAGTCTCTGTCCGCCGGGTTGATGATGAACGCCCAAGTGCCAAAGCCTCTGTCAGCCAAGACACTTCCGCAAAGCATGTCAATGAAGCTCCTTCTGTAGATGGTGGACTTGAGGAGTTGTTGAACAATACTGCAGATGAGGCTGTGCTTGTTGAGCCACTTTGTGCCGACTATGATTATGCCCTAGAGCAGCTTGTATATGAGGAAGATACTGAAAGTACATTGCTAGATCATTCATCAAGGGAAGTTAATTTTCCCAATCATAGTGCTGTGATTGCCCCAAGCTGCCAGCAGTACCATGTGAAGGAAAGCTTTGACCTGACACAGTCAGGCACGTCACAGCTACAGTTGCATGAGGCACCAGAGGTCACATCTGCTCCCGTTAGTCGTGAACAACAGCGGCATGTGGTGGAAGAGGATTTCCTTGAAGATTATCTGGAGATGAATGACCTTCTTGGTCCAGACCCAAGCATTCAGAACTTTGATAATCCAGAGCTGGGTGTTAAAAACTTTGATGAGGCCGGACCAAGTGGTCAAAACTTTGATAAGCCTGCTGGAAGCTTCGAGGATTTGCAATTCGATTACTTGGATGGGTTGACAGAATTTGACTTGTATCATGATGCACCCTTGCTTCTTGATGATATTAGAACAACTGATGTGGGGCAAATTACTGAACCATACATGAACAACTTTGTGAATGGTGCTGTAAATCCTGTTTCAACAACGTATTTAAGCACTTTTCAGAATGAAATGGTGAACCGCCAGCCAATGTACTTGGATAATGGAGAACAGATTAGCAATCAACTGTGGACACATGATCAAAGGTTTAACATCTATAACCCCAGCGAGACAAATCAGTTGGTTGTTCCTCCAGCTATATCAGGTATCCAAATGATCCCAAACGGCAATACTGCCACTTTTGCTTGTCTTATGCCGTACTAATGCTCTTTCAAGATTTTCATAAAACACATTTTTTATGTGAGCTGACTTTATGGAGCTCTTGGCAGATGATGGTATAGAATAACCATGTCATCTTCAGCATGGCGAGAACTCTTTTGCCCAAGTGGAAATGGGGGAGTTTGAGCCAACAAGAGCTCTGCTGCTGCTAATATAGTGGTGTTAGATTTATTCGCTAATTTTGCAAGTTTTGGCAATGTTTTAGGTGTTGTGTATGATAGTAATTTGGCAAATCATCCTATGGGCGCAAATCAGAATCAAATAGTCAGACAGGATGATGGTACACCGTCATGGTTCTCCTCTCAGTTGTGGGCCTTTGTGGATTCTATACCTACCACTCCTGCTGCAGCTGCTGAAAGTCCTCTGGTTAATGGGGTCTTTAAGCGCATGTCTAGCTTTAATAAGTTGAGAATAAACGCCAGGAACATGAATGTTGTGGCAGGTAATACTGTAACTTCAAGCAGTTCGGGCAACTCTAAGAATGGGGTTTTTTATTTTTCTTTTCTCGGAATACTTTGTGCAATCTTATGTGTGTTAGTAGGAACATTTGTTAAAGTCTTTGGGAGATACATATCCTCTTAAATATGTGAAGAATTTGGTGTTCTATCATCTGCTATCTTGCCGGAATCAATGAGAAGCTTAGCATATATCTTTGAGTAATGCAAAATCTACTTAGAAGTACGATGTCTTAATTCCTCCCTTCCCTTAGTAGCTGCCCACTGACCTCCTCAAAGTAAAAGAAAATGGAAAAAGAACAAAGAAACGTTCACTTATTTGAAAACAAGACCAAAAAGAAAGTTGTCACTAGCAATTTTGACTGAACTTCCGAGATTATGTCATAAGCAATTTTTACAAAACTTTCCGCTTGGGGAGTTATGCTTTGCAGGTATGCATATCATTGGATGTAATTCAGTGAGTCCAAGTTGATTTCTGATGTGGAAGGTCCTATGTGGCTTGAATTTTGATTTTGTCTCTAGTTTCTTGTTTGTAGGTTGGGATGGTAAATACCATATTACCACCTCCTTCAGCCCCTCAGTCTGGGGAAGGGCCGGTGGAAGTATAGGTTTATTTATTCGGTCAGGTAAGTTTGGTTTGGTATGTATTTTCTTGGCTGTGATAAATATGAGTGACAAATGTCAGCATAATTTATGCTCAGCTTGTGTGTGTCAAGTTATTACGACCTGCCACTTTACTTGGTAAATATTCTCGAAATATTGTTTGTGTTTAAGCTCATAGTGTTTTACTGCTCCATATAATGTTCAATTGGATCATGGTCTTTGTCATATGGCCCTAAATTGGAGAAGTGACTATTTTAGCTGGGGTTAGTTTGAACTTCCGAGTTTTGGAGGAACTAGAGTGTCAATGTTGTTTGGCTGTCAAAGTTTAGTGTTTAACTTTTGTGTTTATCGCTGTCGTCGTTAATGTGTAATTAGAGTGCCATGGCTATTCATATGATAACACTAGGATTTGAGAGCTGCTAAGTTTTTTTTCTGCTGTTCATTGATGGGAATTGAGTCTGTTGAGGGCATGTTTTGTGTAAATTCTCTATAGATATATGAAATCTATGACCACCAAAATTTGGACTAGCTAAAGTGAACAGAGATTGACTGCATTGCAGAGCTACAAACATGAGATGATAACATACATAGTTCAGGCTCTAGGCTGTAGCCTTTATGTATAATAGAAGACGTCTCTTAATTTGTTGTTGTATCTGGTACTTTGCAATCACGTCCTTTGTTTTTGTAGCCCCAGGGCTATTTATAACTAGCCAATTAAGAAGTCTCAAATGTACTAGCACTGCATCTTCGATGCAGTCATCGATTCTCCCGAGAGGTCACAATTGCCGCGAGCAAAAATTGCTATTGGGATGTTGCTCTCTGATTGTTACTGTTTGATGCTATTTTTTCTTCCCTTTTGCTAGATATTGTTACTCCCTGATGGTCACTCTTTGATGCTAATTTTTTTCCTCTTTGCTTATCGCATTTCTCCCCCCTTCCCCCTCTTTCTTCCTCTTCTTCTCCCCTATTCTTCCTTTCCACCTTCTTCCTCTTCTTCTCCCCTATTCTTCCTTTCCACCTTTTCTTGAGCTAAGGTCTTTCGGGAACAGCTTCTCTACCTCTCCAGATGGGGGTAAGATCTGCGTACTCACTACGCTTCCCAGATTCCACCTGTAGGATTATATTGGGTATGCTGTTGTTGTCCTCCCTTAATGTTAGGGAGGTTGCTGTTTATAGCCTTTGCACCAAGCCTCCAACCACCGATCCACCAAATGCCCATCATACCAAAAGAAAACAACCAAAAAAAAAAAAAAAGAAAAAAAAAAGAAGAAAGAAGAAATGAAGAGAACAACTCTCTTCTTTCGACCTCTCCATTTGGTGGCCACATACCTTTACTCCCAACATGAGAATTGGTTGTTGACGTAGTGATACTAACGATTACATATATAGCAAAATTTTCTTATTCCATAATTTGATCTTATAGCTTTGTACTTTTTGAATCTGCTGAATGCCATCTATAAAATTCCTCCTACTTCATCGGAAAGAAAATCTGATCCTAAAGATGGTTGCAGCTCTCCGAAATTTTTGATTATAGTAAATTTTGAGATATAATAGGAACTATTAGAAGTACTTGGAGGTGCTCATAGTTCATCCTTTTGGTGAATTACACTTTATGTAAAACACATTTTGTGCACCTGATCCGGATTTTGATACAAAGTACTCTTATTCAGTTTATGTGAATCTATTTCCTTAAAAAGAACGAACCCTTTCTACAATTCTACTCTTAATGAAAAGTTTATAACCACCCAAATAAAAGTTTATAACCACCCAAATACTCTGGGCCCCTTGTTTGACTTGTTTAGGACCACAAATATCAAAAGTTTCTATTTTTTTCTTAAATTCTGTACCCAGTAAAACTGATTCACATAAATTGAATTGAAACGGAACGGAGGGAGTAGAATATTAGCTGTGCTAAGACTCAATTGTGAAAGTAAAACGATTAAGTAGCTATAAGTAGCCTTTATTCTGGTAATTGCACACACCAAGTCTATGGACACACACACTACGCACAACGTTAGTAACTTTAGCATTTGTTTTATACATTGGACAGCCAAAGAGAAGTTGTTAAACAACATCTATGGCTCTAACATTTCTTGTAAACACCTGTGTTTCCTTCTTTGGCACGTTTACAGTCAAAACGCCATGCTCAAGCCCACACTTGATCTCATCTGCATTTGCATTTTCCGGAAGCCGGAATCTCCTCATGAATGTCCCTTGGCGACGCTCCACACGGTGCCACTTGTCGTCCACTTGTTCCTCTTCTTTCACTCTCTCTCCACTTATCTCAAGTATGTTCCCATCTTCAACTTGCACCTTCAGATCTTCCTTCCTCACCCCTGCCATGAAAAATTGCACTTAGCTTTACTAGTAACAATCTCGCAAATCTACACCCTTCTGAATATAAGGCACATAGTCCTACTATGCACCCTATTGCTGCCACTTCCACATTTTTCTTTCTCATTCTATATATCCTAGTATAGTACTACTTTTCAAGAACCTATGTTGTTTTTCGAAGAAAAGGTCAACTCCTAGATATCTAATAGAATCTGGGTACGTAAGGATATAAGTATTTCTATTCAAGAGTATTGGATGTGCGAAAAAAGTTAGTCTTACACAGGAGCAGGTTTAGTCTTTGGAGGAAATTATACCTAAAGCCTACATGTCTTTGGACTAACTTAGCCTAAATAAGTGATATCATCTTTGTAAAAGGAGAGTGCAAAGAATTCAAAAGGCATTGATAACTTGAGCTAGCAACAATATAATATGCTTGTGAAGAAAATAAATCAAGAGAAAACCCAATATTTTATTTAGTTTTGTCGGTATAAGAAGAGGAAGAGGACCGACAAGACTTCTCAAAACATTCTCTTTTTTATACGTACAAAGTTTTTTGTGTGTTTGAAGGGGAGAGTTGAAATATCAGATACTTAACCAGGAAGGTCAACACGAAAAACATGAGCAGTGTCGGTTTCACGCCAGTCAACATTAGCATGAGCCAAGGCCGAGACGTTATCATCGCCGCCTCTACGACCGCCGAGCCCCCAGCCACTCAATCCACCACTCAGCCCATAATCAAAAGGGTCCCATAAATCATAAGAGAAAGGATCACTAATCATGTCCAAATCTCCAGCTCCTCTCCGACGTCCACCTCCCATCCATGGTCCTATTGGTGAAGCCATTTTTTTTAAGGAACACTTGAATTAAGTCAAGTACAAATAGTTATATCTATATTTTTGTGACAGTTTGGACAAGAGTAGTGATGACTTTTGTCAATGGTATATGCGTTGGTTACTTCACTCCTAAGCCACGTTTTCATGTTCTTGACACTTGGCATACCATACCATGCAACACGTTTATGCAGATAAGATCAAGCCGTATATATGCTATACTTCGTGTGGACGGTCTTCGCGCTAATCTTTTTGGCCGCTTCCGCTTGACACAACAATACTGCAGAAGTGGCTGTATTTTTTAATTAAGGTTAAATGGTTACTCGAGGAGAATTCTGATCAAGCATGAAGCACTGGGAAAATTAGTTTGAACCAACTGGATAGGAAGTCAATGGGGACTAAATTATTACACTAAGATAATAATTAGTACACTATTAAGGTCGTTTCATTAATTGTGTAATTTGTTTAAATAATTAGTGTGAAAAATCCTCCACAAAGTAATTCAGTACATTGTTGGTTACATAAGAAAAATAGTAGAGTATATCAATAAGGAATGTAGCGGGTGTTTGGTTGCATAAGAGAACATTATAACATTCGTATAACTAACCAGTGTTTGTTGATAGTATTAAATAATATTTGCATTAAATTTATATCAAAATTTATATGCTATAAATTTTATTATAGAATATGGAATAAGAATAAGGGGTCGTTTGGCTTAAAGACAAATTATGCCGGGTAGTTATATTGGAATTAGTTATGCTGGAATTAGTTATCCTAATATTAATTTCGAGAGTGTCAATTTTACAGCTTTATTCTGGGATAACTTATCCTGAGATTACTATTCCAACCTCTGCCAGGTATTAATTATTCCGGTAGTAGTTTTATTCCCAGGGTAACTAGGATTAATAACCAAACAAGGGATAAGGCAGTACTAAATTTCTATCCTATGATTATTTTTACTTATCCATCCTACCAAACGACCCATAAGTATATTATTAGATTTATCTTTTTGTACTTCTAATTACTTAGATACAAGATTTTGTAGCACTTAATTACTACTCCTAATAATTAAGTTAAGAAGGGTATTTGTTGCTCCCAAACGCACACGCAAGTATACGTAGTCGTACAAGTACTATATGACTAGTTTAGTGTACGTGCGTTGCACGTGTGTCACACGTCACGTAAATTAATGTGCCAGAACAATATGTTTGACTACAGATGCTTCATCCCGATTTTGTATTTTTTTTCTTATCAATTTAGCAGTGATATATTTGTGATAATTTTCATATATACTAACCTTAGCTTGTATTACATTTTCAATTTTTGTAACTTCAAGGGGGCAAAAATTTAGAAAACAATCTGGAAAATTAGAGTATTTGAATAAGAAAAATGAATTCAGGGGGCAAAATATTTAGGATTATTCTCACCAATTCAATCCCATTTTATTCCCTTCTTTTGAGTCGTCTGCTTATTTTGATCTCAAAAAAGTTTATCCAATCAACATGAAGTTTAAAGTTATAGACTAACATAAAAAAATACTAAGCAACATAGAGTTTAAATCAATAGTTAAAGCCTAGATCATAAAATAATAGGATTATGTCATCATGCCAATACAATTTTTACAAGAACTATGAAACACATAGCACATTAAAAATAACCTAAAATAACAACAACAACAACAATGTGACGACCCGGCCGGTCGTCTTAAGAATTAACGCCCCGATCCCCTATTAACTGCTTCCCCTAAGTTCATTTCTGCTATTTTGGCTTGCCGGGACGTTCGGTGTTGAGTTTCGGAGAGTTTTGGGACACTTAGTCCCTAAATGAGAGCTTAAGTTTTGAAAAATGGTACGTAGTCGGAACAGTGTGAAGACGACCTCGGAATGGAAATCCAATGGTTTCGTTACCTCCGTTAGGTGATTCCGGGGTTGGGAGCGTGTTCGGAATGTATTTTAGAAGTCCGTAGCTCATTTAGGCTTGAAATGCCGAAGGATGAATTTTTGAAGTTTCAGGTCCGATAGTGAATTTTTGATCCGAGGACCGGAATGGAATTCCGGAAGTTGCAGTAGCTCCGTCGTGTCATTTGGGATGTGTGTGCAAAAATTTCAGGTCATTCGGACGTGTTTTGGTTAGGTTTTTGATCGAAAATGTATTTTTATGGAATTTGAAGTTCTTAGGCTCAAATCATTGATTAGTTCGACTTTCCGACGTTGTTTTAGGTGGTTTAAGGGTTGGTACAAGTTTGAATGAGGTATTAGGTGCTATTGGTTCTTTTGGTTGAGGTCCCGGGGGCCTCAGGATGATTTCGGGTGGTTAACGGAAGAATTTTTGAAGTGTTGCAGCAGCTGGTTTTTCTCTCTTCTGGTATTTTCGCTTCTGCGGCTTGAGAACCGCAGAAGCGAAGCCGCATAAGCGGCCTAGTCATCGCAGGAGCGGGTTTGGGCAGAGTTTTTCAGGTACCGCAGATGCGGAGGGAATTCCGCAGGAGCGGCCTCGCATCTGCGAGAAAGAGAACCGCAGATGCGAAAACTTGGACTTTTATTAGAACCGCAGAAGCGGCTTAAATTCCGCAGAAGCGGAACCGCATAAGCGGTTAATTGTCCGCAGAAGCAGAAATGCCTGTTCTGATATAGAAAATTCGAGGGTTTGATTTCATAAGCTAGAAAAAACCAAATTGAGCTCGGGCAAGGGCGATTTTCAGAGGGTTTTGAAGAGAAGACAATTGGGTAACGTTTCTTTAATCCCTTCTAGTTATATTTCATCATTTTGTAGTTAAATCCATCCTTTAAATTCGAATTTGGGATCAAAAATTGGAAGAAATTGGGCAAAACTTCATAGGCTAAACCATTGAGTTTTGAGTGAGCATTTGACCTCCGATTTGGGAGATTTTTATATGGTTAGATTCGTGAGAGTACGAGGATTCTGAAAATGTGAATATTATTCGATTCCGAGGCGTTGGCCTGAAGGGCATTTTGGTCATTTCACCTAATTTCACGCCGTAGCTTTGAATTAAATAGCAAAACCAGTTGTTTGCGATGTTATTTATGATATGTAAATGTATTGAATAGATTTGGGCCATTTGGAGTCGGATACTCGTGGCAAAAGCGTGCTTTCTAGTTGATTTTGGGCCGGTTCGAGGTAAGTGGCTTGTCTAACCTCGTGTGGGGGACCTTTCCCCTTAGGATTTGATATGTGGTAATTGAGTGCCTTGTACATGAGGTGACGAGCGCGTACTTGAGCTAATTGTTGAAAACCCGTTTTTTTTTACTTAAGCTATTGAGACTGAGTTTCCTTCATATTTGCCTTGTTTTACTTGCAGTTATAACCTGTGTTAGATTAGAAAAAGCATGTTTAGTTGATTTTACTTGCCTAATTGTTTAAGTTGCCTTGACTGTACTACGTGAAGCATGCTAGGCTAGTACTACCTGATATTTGCCTTTGTACTTCATTTCTGAATATCTTCTGGTAGTGGTTGCGCATTTATATTGGGACTACGGATGTGGGATTCCGGTAGCTCCCCCCCTTGTTTGTTTACTTTGGGACTGCGGTTCGATTCGCGATAGATCCCCCTGCACATTTACTTTGGGACTGCGGGTTCGATTCCCGATAGATCCCCCTGCACATTTACTTTGGGACTGCGGGTTAGATTCCCGATAGATCCCCCTGCACGTTGATAGCTGGACTACGGGACGGTATCCCGGGAGATCCTTCGGATATACACATATGATGGACTACGGGAAGGCATCCCGAGAGATCTACTGGACAGTAGAGAAAAGGACTACAGGACGGTATCCTGGGAGATCCTCATTGTTACCATTGGTATTGAGCTATACTTATTCTGTGGTTGTTCCGTTCTTTGTGTATTTGATATTGCCTTGTTTAACCCGTCTTATCTCACTGCTGTACTCATTATTATTGTCAGTTTTTCATACTGTTAATTTATTATTATATCTTATCTCAGTAGGGCCCGACCTTCCTCGTCACTACCCAACCGAGGTTAGGCTTGGCACTTACTGAGTACCGCTGTGGTGTACTCATGCCCTTCCCGCGCATGTTTTTCATGTGCAGATCCAGGTACCTCCACTCAGGCGCACTATCCTTGAGGCGAGGAGAGCTACGGAGACTTCGAGGTATATCTGCAGCGTTCGCAGACCGAAGAGTCTCCTTCCTTATTCTATCTGTAGTGTCTAGATTCTATCATACTTTTGATGTAGACATTCTGGAGATTAGAGCATTTACAGTATTTCTATTAGCCTGTGGTTCCCGTGAGTTTTCGGATTTTGGGATTGAGTTGTAGACTTCCGTATTTCTTTTGAGTTGTATAGGCCGAGCGGCCTTATATGCAGTTATTATTTTAATATGTCTAGCTTTATTTAACCATTTCGCAAGTTAGGTTGTTATTTCCGCATTGTTAGGCTTACCTAGTTGTAGGAACTAGGTGCCATCACGACATGTTCATGGAGGGTGAACTGGGATCGTGACAAACAAACTCAGTTTAATTTCACAAGTGGAGTGTGGGAAGGTAGTGTGTACGCAGACCTTACTCCTACCTAGAAAGTAAAGAGATTGTTTTCGATAGACCCTGGGCTCAAGAAAGGATAAAAAAAAATTAAAAAAACAAATATATCCATAAGATAAATAAATATCAAATACAAAAATATAATAGAAGAAGATCAAACTTTTTCGTAAAAATCTATCCTAAAGATGACTAAATAATTTCAAAAGTCTATCCAACAATTAATAACTAACCATGGAATCTTACGAACAGACAAAATATTGTAATAGCAAAATATGTATAGAAATGATTGAAAGTTTTAAACCGGAAAAGAGAAAAAGAGGTTTCTATACGTGAAATCAATAGGTAATTTGTCCTGTTGACTTCATATTGTAGTCCTACGGGCAGTCAAATAAGTACTTATTGTATTTTTTTCTCCAACTTTTCTGTCAAATAAAATTTACTACACTCGAATATTAGAAATTACAATTACACCAACATATTTTCGTAAGAAAGTCAACTCAAATCATTAGATCTTGATAAATAGTGAATTGAATTTAAATTCAGTTTTCCTTCT